TTTAATATGCGTTCTAAATCTTCTGCATAAAAAATATAAAAAAAAAACATGTGTAAAAAACTAGTTTAAAGCAATAATAATAATATAAAGCAAGCAATATAAACACATTAGTACAAAAATTATGAATTAATGTAAATAATAATGTGAGCAATGTAAAGAAAAATTTTAACTAACATACTATGAAGAAACAAGATACATTTCATTTTAAAATCTAAAATAAATTCACAATATGTATAGCCTTAAGGTTTCACAATTTCTGAAATATAGAGATAGTGAAAGGCCAATTGATTTTTAATTAACTTAAGTTTTGCAGGATCAATTCTTTTACATTTTAAGTTTGTTCTTTTCCCCTCCCTGATTGATTAACAAGATAATATTGTTTAAAAGTTAGTTGCAATGAAAATTACAAATCATATAATTCTGGTTTCCCTGTTGGATGCATTTAAGATCTATTTTGATGCTTACGACATGACTTAATTTTAATATAAATATATTACACATTATCGGTCCTTCTGGAATAATAAAATTATAGTTCACAATTTATAAGAACAAAGAAAGAGCTCAACTATTTAATCTATTTTTTAAAAAATTTATGCTATAATTAAAAAATCAAAAATTATTAGTATCTAATTAAAAAACTTTCATCAGATAAATAAATATTTTAATATATTACAGTTTTAAAAAAGGATAAAATTTAGCTCTTCTTTGAATTACACAAACTAATTTATCACAAACATTTCAAATGTATTTCATGAAATTGAAATAAAATTTTGTTTACCCCCCCCCCCCTTTCAATTGTATACACATTTTTCTCACTTGACACAGTTGTTTATTTAAATCATATTGTAGAGATTACTTTTGGCCAGTGGATAAATTACATACATGTTTTTGTACAACTTTCTACGCATTTTATGAACTTCAATAAACATTAATTTACATTTAAATATTAGTGGTTGATTTCTAAGTAAATAAAAAAACATACTTTTTTCTATTAAAAAATACAGAACTATTGGTTTTTTTTATTAGAAGATAAAATCATAAGAAATACTTTATCATAACAAAAGTGTATACATATTATTAATGCCTATTAACATTTTTATTTATTCATCATAATTTTAATACCTTTAAATACTCTTTCAAAATTAAGAATTTTAGATATCAATATTGTGCCAAAAATAATTCTATAAAAATTAGAAATAGATCCAAATTAATCAAACTACATTATAATTACAATTTCACTCCTGTTATATTTTTAAATTATATATCTATATATGTATGGAATAAGGTAGGAATAATAAAATTATATAAATTCCCATACACAGTGTATTATCCCAGATTACTTAAATAGAAACTACTATATCACGTACACTCAAACCTGCTTTTGTGCGGTCATTTTTTGTGTGATTTTTTTTGTGCGGTAAATAAAAATTTCAATCAAATTGAACATAATTGACGAAGTTATCAATAAAAAAATCAGTAGGATTGATCAGTCATTTAGTTTTTTCGATTTTTTATATGAGTAGTCCATTTCCAAAACTCTCTATTCGACATTTAAAAAAATACAAAATAATTATGTCATATGCAAGCTCTCTCTCGGAGAAAGCTCTCTGTTTCAAAGAGAACCCGATCATATGACAGCAGATAAAATCTATGCAGGACTCAAACTCTGTCATAAATTAGAATGTCATTTTCTTGCAATCGAGGCCAATTCTGAAAGAACTTCAAAATTCCAAAAGGAGCTTCAGTCGTGCATATCTGGCTACCGGGACATATACAAGCGTCTAGTGAAACAACAGTCGTCGCAAAAACTAATCACTGACTATATGGTACCTGAAAAAAAGTCAACTCTAAACGAGTGCGAGATAGTATCTTCAAGTGACGAAAGCGATTTTGAACCAGTTTATCACAGGAAAGTTCGCATAAATTGTCAGACTGCGAAGGATAATGTTCATACGTTTTGAAAAGTTTTGTATGTGTAAAATAATCACATAATATGTAAATAAAATATTTAAAAATGTTCGCAAGTGTATTTTTTAAATCAGATTCCAAAACGTTTGGCGAAATTCCAGGTATGTACTAGTTATTTCCTAAGGTTTTAAGTTATTTTAAATGTGAGACTTTTTTTATGCGGTCCCTATCCACCGCATAAAAAAAAATTTTAATTGTGTTCCAAAAACTATATTTTATAGCTATTCATGAAGTTTTGTGCAATTTTTTTTATGCGTTTATTTTATGCGGTCCCTATCCACCGCACAAAAACAGGTTTAAGTGTATACAAATAATGAATCTTAAAATATTAAAAATTAATTTTGATCAATTTTTTAAATTATAAGAAATAAGAAAACATACCTGAATTCATTACATTAATTTCTAAAAATTTAAGTAGTTCCTCATTCACAAGCTTCTGTTTATGTAGAAAAAATGGCCCATTACTAAAATATACATTGAATATATATTAATTAAAACTTATTAAGTCTACTAAAATTATTAATTTTGTAGCATTTTAATAAACAACTATCAACATCAGAATAAAGATAAAAAGGTTTTTTTATCTTCAAAATTATGAAATGGTATCACAAAAATCTATGATTATTTCACTTCAAAAATAAAATTTTACTACTAAACAAAACTTATTCAACCCAAAGTCCAGGATAAATATGAACATAGCCCAATAAAAAAAAATCATAAACTCACAAATTTTAGGAGATTAACTAAAACTATAATTAATAGTATTACGAATAAAATTCTAACAAGCTTATAATTTATAAGCTGGGAACTTGTACAAGTATTTAGCTATAAGAAACAGAAAAAATTAATGATAATCTAAAATTGAAATGAACTTTCTTTTTAAAAAAATTAGTGATTTAGCATAGTGAAAAATCATTTTTAAAGGGTGCCTTTTTTTAAACTACACTACTGTAATTCAAAGATTTTGGAATGCATCTCCGCTTTATTCAATTCCAACTATTAGTTCACACTCTCCTTATATATATATATGGGTCCAGAATCTGGCAATAACTTGTTTATTGTACTCAGATTTAGCGTGGGCACTGAATTTTTGAATGCAATTTTTAGGTAAGTTACCTTTTTCTCATAATGGATTTAGATTTTCTATCCATTATTTTCAATAGATATTTGCTCAGTATTATTAACAGAAAGGGGGAAGGTTGGCTGGCCACAAAGCATGTTCAACCCCACTTTTATATAAATTATTTTATATTTAAGCTGTCCTAAGTCAGCAATGTTTATAATACTGTAGCATCCATGCTTTTATATATTTTTATATTTAACTCTATTATTTTAATTTTTTTTATTTCCATTTAAAATCAATTGTCTCGTTATCTTACAATTTCAATTCTTTTCAGTTTGATCATGTTTATTCATCTCTCTCTCTTGTAGAGAAATTTTGATTATATATATAATCGAAATTTCTCTACAAGAGAGAGATGATTAAAACTCTTGAACAATTACATAAAGATAATTTATTTAAAATTGTCAAATATGATAGATTTGGTTCTCTACTTAAGTTAGTTCTAAAAGAGAACTATGTTTATCATAATGGTAATTATTATCTACAGATTAAGGGTCTGCCACAAGGTGGTCCTGCTAGCAACTGTCTTGCCAATTTATATAAACATTATTTAGAAAATAGTATCATAGATATAACTTAGAATATTACTTTTTTCACTATATAGATTATATAATCATTTTAGGCAAGCAAGACAACTTTAAAACTAACATTAATTTTTATCCACAATATCTTAATTTAATTCAGACAAATAGTAACAATTATGAAGCAAATTTTCTTGATATAGAAATTAAATTAAAAGATAATAAAATAAGTTACTAATATTTATGATAAACGAGAAGACTTTAATTTCAATATTATAAAAGTACCACATTGGGAGAGTAATGTGCATGTTTCTATATACAGAAATATTGTTATTAATTACACACAAAACAATACATTTCTAGTTTCAAATAAATCAGAAAAATAAACTATAAACATTTTACTAAATACTGTTTAATTCAAAAATACCCAATTAATTTTATTAATAGATATTTGAATAAAGAAATTCTAAATAGTAAGGATTAAATTTCCATAGTTTATTAACGGGTTATTATTATAAATTTATTATTCTTCCTAGAAAGTTATAGATACCCCCAATTTCTAATTTTAAATAAAATTACTTTTTTAAAATTTAATTTAATTTTTTAAATCATATAATCTTAGTGTCCCTAAGATAATGGTAGTATGTTTACAATTCTTAATTTATTATTTCTATTCTTTTCATATTTTTGCTAGGTGCTACTTTTCAGACATTGCTTTGCTTTAAATATGTATTTGGGTCCAGAATCTGGCAATAAACTTGTTTATTGTGCTCAGATTAGTGCAGGTTCTGCGTTTCAGTATGCAATTTTTAGGTGAGTTACCTTTTGCTCATAATGGATTTAGATTTTCTATCCATTATTTTCTATTGGTTTTTGCTCAGTATTATTAACAGAAAGGGGGAAGGTTGGCTGGCCACAAAACATGTTCAACTGCACTTTTATATAAAAAAAATTGTAAATATAAGCTGTCTTAAGTCAGCAATGTTGATAATACTGTGTAGCGTCCATTCTTTTATATTTTTTATATTTAACTCTAATATTTTAATTTTTCATATTTCCTTTTAAATTCTGTTGTCTGGTTATCTTGCAATTTCAATTCTTTTCAGTTTTAATCATGTTTATTCATCTCTCTTGTAGATAAATTTTGATTATATATATTATATACATATATATTTGTTCAAATATATTTTCAATTATTAATAAAATACTTTTTATTCATCTACTCAAGTTCAAATACATTTTTTTAAACTTGTGGTGGATGATACTTGATGTTAATACAGTTTTTTTTTTCAAATATTAATTCATTAATTAAATTTAAAAAAAGATAAATAGTAACAAACAAAAATAATAGTCCAATAGCATATATAGAATGGAAAATGGTTTGTTGCACCCCTGTAGTGCAATTGATAGCACGTTGGACTTCTAATCCTAAGGTTGTAAATTCGAATCTCACCTGGGATGGCCTAATTTCTGAGAATGTGATATCTTACTTACTATACTATTTTACTAGAATAATTAAATTTAATGAATGAATAAATAGTAACAAACAAACAAAAGTAGTCCAAAACAATATATAGAAAGGAAAATTGCAAGGAAAACCACTTTCTATTTTGTCACTTAAAATTGTGATTGTTATATGTATATACATTATTAATAATAAAATTTATTTAATAAAAAGTAATTAAAATAAAAAATTTCTTAGTTGATCTAAGTAGGAATTGACTTTTAAAAAAATTTATATAACTTGTTTACAGTACAGGTTACAAAAATGAAAGTTTATTAAAAATTTTTGAAAATATATGAAAATGATCCTTTTTTTTTTGGATAATGTTATCACGCATGACAAAATATGGATCTTTGAGTACGACCTTAAAATGTATTTTTTATATATGCCACTTGTCACACCTCATCATCCTCTCATCCCAAGAATGATTGATTGAGCAAATCAGAGTTACGCCTGTGCTCATTGTGTTTTTTACATCAAGGGGATCATCTACCATGAATTTCCACTTCCTGGACAATCAAGAACTTCAAATTTTACATGGAAGTGCTCAAAAAAGTGATTTCATGGATATGGCACATCAGGTCAGACATTAGTAGTAATTGGACATTCCATCATTACAATGTAGTAGCCCATACCACATTCCTCATCACCACCTACCCGGCCAAATGTAACTAGGTAACATTATAGCCCAACCATCAGTTCTGACATGGCTCCCTCAGACTTCTTGTTTCCACAATCAGAATCTTTGCTGAAAGGACATCATTTTAGAAAAATTGATGCCCAGCGAGCAGCTTGTACTACTATAAAAGCAATTCCAAAACAGATTTTCCAGGACACTAGCAAAAATGTATTGATATAGGTTGAAAAATACTAATGTATTATACCTATCTAGTCAATGAATTTTATTTTAATCAACTTGGTGACATTACTTTAAAGGTAGATCTTATGTATTTAATTTCAAGGTACTTACGGAGATACATTTAATTTACTGCATAGCTCATTTTTTCGAGATGAAAGTGGATCATTTTTGCTGATACCTAAAAATCATATACTATAAATCAGAAAAAAATATTCCACTATAATTACAAAATGTAAACAAGATATCATAAAAAATGTACCTAATTTAATTTCAATTGCATCATTTTCATTCTCAGGATATACAAATCCATTGTGCACCATAAATTCAGCATTAGTTCTAGGTCCATAAAACATACAAACCTAAAAAATAATTATAACAAAATGTTAACAATAAAAAAAAAATTCATTTTGTGATTAGCGTTTTTTTAAATTATCAGAATTTCTGTTTAAATTTTACTTTTCAATAAAAAGGCTGAATGAAATATGAAAAACTGTAATCACTTTTAAGAAAAAATTATCAAAACAAAATATGTTTGATAAGAAATTTTTCATTATTCAAATAAAAAAATATCAAGAAAAACAAAAAATTTAAAAAATCAATGCATGAAATTTATAAATACAAAATTAATCAAAGAAAGAGCATAAATCTAATTATAAGTAATTGTGTATATAAGAAAAAATACATTTATAAAAAAAATAAATTCATAACATTTCGATAAGAAAGTATTTATAAAAGATAATGAAAATTAAAATATATATGTAATAAAATATTTCATTGTTTTAAAGCAATATAAAACATTGATTGTTATATTACTTAATTTTGATAAAGGAATAGCATTCTCACATAAATAAAGCTATTAATGAGAAAAATTAAGCATATTACAAAGTATTGCAATGTATATGCATTATATTTTAATGAATGTCAGCTTCTTTTTAAGACAGTTTATTACCCAATTTGCCTTTATGGAATATATAGCTAATTTATAATTTTGAATTAGTACTGTAAGTCAATGAGATTCACATTTTGACTAAACCAGATTAGTAATTGCATTATAAACGAGAACTGTGCTAACATTAACAACCCTAACAAGAACTTTACTAATCATTAACATTCCAACTCAAGACAATTTTGTTTTTATCAGAAGAGCTTAATACTAGAACTTATTTTAAAAGGATGTCTCTGTCAAACAGTGAAACTAGTACTAAGTAGTATACTATAGAATACAAGAAAAGATTAGAAAAGTTTTTGAAATCAAATACAAAATAACTGATATCATTTAAACTATTTTCACTTTTCAATGCAATCTCTCTGTCCACACTAATATGAAATGCCAAAACTTTTTCTGTCTTTATTCCATCTTGAAATTAAATCCCTCCAGGCTTGCAAAAAACTTATCAATTACAGCTGTCAGTTCTTAATTTGATGAGGATCCTTACCCACCAAGGAAAATGAGTTTATAAATGAGATGTAAATCTGACAGTCATATCAAAGACATAAGGTAATTCATTGATACGAGCAACAGTTCATATCTTAGTTTACGTATTTTAGAGATGATAATGATATTTATAGGGGCCTGTATTGTCTTGCTGAAAAGATAACTTTCTTCTTTGCAAAAACTTTAACTTTCTTTCACATATCATTTGCTATAGTTGATCCAGGAGATTAGCAAGGTATTTTTCCATAATTGTTTGACCGGTAAGATACTTTGTCATCAGAATCTCTTTCACATTCCAAGAAATTGATGTTCTGAACTAGGATATGTGATGCTTTTTGACCAACAATATTGTCTTTGTTTTCTTTAAAGCCCGAAAAACAGCTGATTTCTATTGCTTAAACTACTACTTTGTCTCTGAAGTATAATAGTGGACCCATGTTTTATCTGTAGTCATAAGGCAGTCCAAGAAAATATTAAGGGGGTGGGGGTTCAGAAAACAAACCAAACAATGTTCAAACATTTGCGTTCTCATGTGTTTTTGATCTGGTATTTTCATGGCACCCATTTAGTAGATATTTTTCCATAATTTATTTCATTTCCCATTTCTTAGTCAAAGCATAATATACCCATTCTGGTGATATACCTACAGATCATGCCTTTTTACATTCAGTGATCCACCAAGCCCATTTTGTATACTTTTGTAATCATTTTTGCAGTAATGACACATCTTAGAACACTCATTATGCAGATCATCTTCTATGTTCTCCTGAGCAAATTTAAATTCTTTGGTTACTTGGCAATAGCTGATTATAAAGGAGCAGAGTCCCACAGTGTGTTTTAAAAATCAGCATGAATTTTATTTGTTTTCCTGCTTTTCTTAACAAAATGCTTTATCACCACTCAATTCTCTTATCTTTCCCATCTATAAAAATCATTGCATGAGAACAACTATCAAAAGCCATCTGCAAATTTACTCATAAAGGAAGATTAACTATTGTCAGAACTGTGATGACCAGTGGTGATCTCTATTGGCAATACTAAAAACTTTTCAAACCACCATCATATTAAAACATTATAGTCATACAGGGCATGAAGAATTTTAAAAATTGTTAGAATAAATATACATAAAGAAGGAATATATTTTGATAACAAAAATAAACTATGTTCATATTATGAATTACAATTATTTTATACCAGCTTTCAAACTATTTTTTGAATTGCATAGCATATACAGATACAGAACAATCTAGAGAGCCATAATGAGAAAACATGATTATTGAATGAAAACATATTTTAAAATATCAAACTATCTTTGTTCACATATTTCTAGGGGTTTTTTTTTTAATTTTTCATTTCTTGAAAATTACAAAATTTTAAAAAAATGAATTTACCTCTTCACCTTTAGAAAACGACTTGAAAGAATATGATATTAAAGTACCTTTCTCTAAATCAAAATCTGTAGAGAGCTGGAAATAGAAGAGAAAAAATATTACTTGCTAAAAAAGAAAATGATTTTTCATTGCAATAACAAAAACAATAGTTAAAATATAAAATTTATTTTTCCTCTGATGTATGTGTTTTTTTTTTTATTCGTTTATTAAAATAAAACACAATGGCTATCAACAATTCCTTTGCAAATCCAATGAAACTGAATATTTAAGTAAAATATTGACTTAATATGGCAAAAATTTCTGGATGTATATCAAATGAAGAAATAAATATCAAAATGTATCAAAACATGGATACCCTCACATTGCTTTAAAAAACATCATTTAAAAAATCAAAACATGGAGATGATTTTTAAAAAATTTGTAATCACATTTTCCTTTTTATAACTCTGTACACCAGGGGTTGGCAACCTTTTATCTTTGGCATGCCAAACCCCTCTACCAATATGATTCAGCATGCCACACAGTAGGACATGTTTGAAAGAATTTGATTCCCATGATAATGCATGCAGTGTTAGAAAATAGCAGTCAATAATAAATATTTACACAGGTATTATACATTAAATTTGCCTCATTTAAAAATATTTCTGAACATAAAAATAAGCAGTATAAAATATAGCTATTTCTTCCACAACAATTTTAAAAAATTTAATTGTGCATATATTATGTATTTTTGAACATATTGTTACGAATTCTGTAAATTGGTGTAATTTGTCTTATGATAATGAATGTTATATGTATCCCATTGTATTTCAATAGCAAGTCGCCAAATTGGCGAAATATTGGCTAATTGGCGAAGTTTTAGGCAACTAATTTTTGTCGCCAAGTTTGGCGATATTTCGCCAAATTTGGCAACGGAAGTTGGCAACCTTGGCGACAGAGATAATTTTCTAGAGGGATCCTGATTTCTTGAATTCTCTCCAAGGTTCTGGATTTTTCTAATATGACATAACTTCCTGTTAGTGACGTCACTTCCAGCAGAGAGCATATAAAAACAAGCACGAAAGATTAGGAGTGGTATTGGAGCCTTAGACAGCAAGCAAGCTGTAGGCTGGTGACTGAGCTATTGAATGCGCAGTGTTATTCTTATAGTCTTCGTTAAATAAATAGCTTTATTTATTTTTTTTAAAAGGATTCTGCTTATTGAATTTACTCTAAGCACATCGCAGGAAATTCGTAACAAATTGGCGTCAGAAGTGGGATAGAATAGTGAAG